CACACACCTGCCCGGCGCCCTCAGTCATTTTATCAAGGGGCCGGTGGGTCTAACGTTATCCATTTCCCCGAATAAACAGGGAACAAGTGGGTCTGGGAGAGAGGGGCACAACCGACTGTAGGTTTTCCTGAAATTCACGCTTCGCGTCAGTTAGCCAGCGGACCCAGGACCGCTCTCTCCCGGGGAGGACCCAGCCCAGGCCGGCTGGTGATAAGTCAGCTGGCTGACCAGTCATCCGGTGGAGACTAAGTGCCTAGTTGGCTAGTACTCGGAGGAGATGAGCTGACTGGCCGGCTGAGGCCGTATCCGCTCGTGACCGGGGGTGGGGGCGCACGTGGGGAGGTACTCACGATGGGGCTGGCGTTGATGTAGTCCGACCTGCTGTGGCTGTTCTCCGATCTCAGCAGGACCCTGGAGTGGTCGTCTGCAAACAAGCCCAAAGGCATAACGTTAGATGTGCACGCGGGCCTGTGTCTGTAAGGGGCTGTGCGAGGAAACAGAGGCACCGGGTGCCCGTGCAGGTGACGTCCCCTCCTGGGCTCTGCTTAGGCCACTCACCATCACTTCCTTCTCCAGGAGAAGGGAGCGTGGGCACCTGACTCTAGGTTTCACCCAGTAGAATTTAGATATTTTCGTGTTTTTCTTACACAGATTCAAATCCCAGGATTAGTGTTCCTCTGCAAGATTATAGTTAAGGCCTCCCTTTATTTATTATTATTCTTTAAGTGTTTAAAAGTTTATTTAGTTTGAGAGAGGAAGAGACAGCACAAGTAGGGGAGGGGCAGAGAGAGAGGGAGAGAGACCCAAGCAGGGTCCGTGCTGTCAGCCCAGAGCCCGACGTGGGGCTCGATCCACGAAACCACGAGATCATGACCTGAGCCGAAATCGGACGCCTAACCGACCGAGCCACCCAGGTGTCCCTATGGGTTTCCCTTTAAGTAGGAGACATATTTGGCCACATATAGGAAACACGTATCGACATGAATATTGAGATATTAGGCAACTGTTCTGTATATAAAATTCTGTGATCTGGGAACGGCTAAATCCTGGGATGACAGGAATTTCGTTTTAAAGGGAGAATGGGAGAAAAAGCAAACAGTTACAGAAGGAACAGAGATTTGTGCAAGCGGGGTCCCCTGACGACACAGCCAAGTGCCTTAAACATGCACAGCAACCTGACTGATTTTGCAGCCAGACATATCAGTGGGGATTAGAGACGTGATTGTCAAAGCTGAGTCTGTTTGATACACGAATCATTCTTTTTTT